AACAAATTCTACCAGTCTTCACTGAGATTACTTCACTTTCACTTTTGAAAGGTAGATTTCTGGATATAGGATATTTGGCTGATGATATTTTTTTTCAGCACTTTTAATATTCCATCTTATTGCCTTCTGGCCACTGGTTTTGATAATAAGTTGTCCTAACTGTACTATGGGTGCATTGAACATTAAGTCAGCATCTGTCTGTGAGTGTGTGTGTCCTCCATTTTAAGATTTTCTCTTTGTGCTTGGTTTCAGTTTGACTATGATACGTCTAGGTGTTTACTAAGCATCTTGGATGTGTAGGTAAGTCTTTTCCATCAAATTTTGAAAGCAGTCAACCATATTTTCTTATATATGGTTTATATCTCTTCGCTATCTCTTTTCCTGAGACACTGTTATGCATGTTGTCTGATGGTGTCCCAGGCCCCAAAAGTTCTGTTCATTTTTCTTCATTTTGGTTCCTCTTGCTCTTCAAAATAGATAACCAAGATCCATGTTCAATGTGTGTTGATCTTCTTTTCCTCTAGGCACTTGAAATTTGTTTCTGAGTCCCTTCAGCAAATTTTTTTTAGCCAATGTATTTTCCAACCTCAAAATTTCCTTTTAGTGCTATTTTATAATTCCTACCATGTATCAGCATTCTCTATTGGACAACCATTGCCATCTTACTTTCTGCTAATCCTTTGAATAGGATTTAATTTACTTCTTTAAACGTATCATAATAGTGTATAACAGTATGTGTTTATTAAATCAAACAAAATGATCTCTACTACATTTTTCTTCTGTATGGGTAATTTTCTTGCTTCCTTGGTGACTAGTAATTTGTTATTGAAAACTGGGCATGTTAGGCATATAATGCAGAAGCTTTGTATTCAGATCCCTGCTTCCCACTCATGGCTGATGGTCCTTGCCACATGTTTATTTACTGTTCCACTTGGACAAACCGTATCATATCTGCTTCCCTCACAGCAAATGACCACTGATTATGTGCTGAAAGTTTTTTTTCTTTCTTTCTTTCTTTTTTTTTTTTTTTTGGTCTTCTTAATTTTAAACCTAGGTCCTGGATCAGCACAGCCTTATGGTCAGCCAGCAAGATCAGGGTCTAAGTTGGGCCTTGAGCCAGGAGCTACCTGTGGCTACCTGTGTTAATTCGGTTAACATCACAGATGTCTGTGACTCTGTCTCAGCTTTCACTTTCTTGTGCTCACTCAGTTTGAGAGACTCATGAGGGCCCACCCAGTTCCTCGAGTGTTAGTGTCTGGTTACTGAATTTCCACGTTAAAATTCTGGACGGTCTGGTGGTCTACTACATGTCCCCACCAATCCTGCAACCTTAGGGTCCTTGTGATTTCGGCTTTCCACGACTGCATGCCATTAAGATGACCACTGATAACATCTCCAGGCCTGGAATTTCCCACAATGTGCTCCACATGAAAGCCATGCCACCCACCATGGGTCCTAACTCAAATCTATCACCAAGAACCTGTGGAAACCCTCCCGGTGCCTACTGTTCTTGCTGAAATTCTGAGATTTAACAAACTTTCTTGATTTAATACTTCTCCATTTGCTGTATGCCTTCAGTCAGATTCCCACACTCTCTGAAGGGCTGTCTTGCTCAATTCTGTCAATCTTTATCTCTGCTTCTGGGGAAGAGGATGTGCTATGATTCACACTTAGCCCATTTCAGAAAGCCTGCTCACTGTGGGAACTGCTTTCCATGAGCACGAAGGAGGAAATTTACTTTGTAAATACTTTGTAGAAAGAAGTCAGGCCAAGGAAAATGAAGTAATTTTTCCATGATCTCCTAACAAATTCACAGCTGAACTAGCATCAGAATAAGGCACCAAGCAAGCCAATGGGGTTTCTTGGCCTTAAAGGAGAAACGCAGTATCAGGGAGCACCCACTAGAGGGCCGCCTACCCCGGTCCCGCTCTCAAAAAGCAAAATTACAGTGTAGTATCAATGCTGGTTGTCATCACTATACAGTAACAAAGCCAGACAATTACAAGAAAATAAAATAAAATGCTAATATTCACATTTATGAGTATAAATGTGAAAACTTTAAACACAATTTTTAAACTGAATTAAACAATATACAAAAAGCATAATACATCACAGTCACCTGGGGTTTTACCCCCAGAATCTCAAGGTTGGCCTAACATCCAAAACACCAACCAATAAAATTAAAACTAAAAAAGAAAAGTGTACTATCATCTCAATAGGCACAGAAAAAAATATTTTAAAATTCAACATCCACAAGGCATTGTGGTGCACTCCTGTAATCCCAGCATGTGGGAGACCAAAGCAAGAGGATCACTGTGAGTCAAGGACAGCTTGGGCTACAGAGTGACAGTGAAACGCTTTCTCAAAAAGCAAAAACAAAAAAATCAACATCCCCTTATCAGAAAAAAGAGCTGGCAAAGGAAAAGAATTTGGTCAACCTGACAAATAGTATCTACCAAAAACCCAGTTTATATCATAGTAAATTAGAAAAACTAAATACATCCCCTTTCTAAGGAATTACACACATTATTTCTATAAGAAACCCAGAATTTTTTTAAAAAGTAAAATAAAGGATAATAGGAAATAGGGAGATCATTCATTCTCAAAAGGGAAGAGGATCAAGAGATGACAGGGAGAAGAGGAAGGAATAAGTGATTTAAAAAGGAATTGGGGAATGCAAAGAATATAATTCAGTAGCATAAGTGCCTGCTGGCAAGTGAGGTCATGAGTTCGATCCCTAGTACTATAAAAAAATATAAGCAAATAAAAAGAAGTGTAGTTGATTTGGGGGCTGGGAATATACCTCAGTGGCATAAGCACCTGCCTGGCAAATGAACGGTTCTGAGTTTAATTACCAGCACAAAAAAAAAAAAGAAATTGGGATGTGTTACATACATGTACCAACTCCACACAAATGATGTAAACATTATTACTATACACAGACACTAATAAACTAAGAAGAGAAATTACACAAAAAGATACATTCTCATCACTTCTATTAGCATTATACTGAAGATACTAGCTAGTATCATTTAAGGGGGAAAAATTCATCTAGACTTGTAGATATGATTCATCTATATCAAAAGTCCAATGGATCTACCAAAGCAAATAAGTCAGCCTAACAAGGTGGAAGGCTACGAAACAAATATATAAAACTCATTGTATTTCTACTTACTAACAACAATCAGAAATTGAATTATTTTCAATTTTAAAATTTTTATAATATTTTAATAGTGTTAAAATTACTGCCCAAAGATTCACAAATTCTCCAAAAGATGTGATATATACATACAATGACAATTACAAAATATGGCAAAAGAAATTAAATGTAACCCAAATAAACAGGTCACCCTGTTCATGGGTCAGAAGTCTCAATACTGTTATTGTTAGTTCGGTGCAGTTTCAATGAACATCCCACCAGACATTTTATGGATCCTTAAATATCCAAAACAACAACAAATAAAAAAACAGAGTTGGACATTACTTGCTTTCAAGAGTTATCACAGGAAGGGAAAAGGAAGCAAGTCACAGAGGGTAACAGGCAAAAATGATCAAAATGTTATATGTGCGTACAAACATGCCAAAACAGAATCCTTAATTTTGTGTAACTAATATGCACCGATTTTTAAAAGTCATTATAAAGCTAATCTGTGTAGTGTGATTCTGGCCTCATAATACACAAACAGAATCAACAGAACAAAATAGAATCCAAAAAGTGACCCACTCATATTTGGCAAAGATGCAACAGCAGAGAAGGGACAGACTTCCCAAAAGATGATGCCAAAACAACTGTGTGACCTTAAGGAAAAATACTTTGATCCATGCCTTACAACACACACAAAAACTAACCCAAGTATAGGATAAAATATGAAACTATAAAAATATCTAGAAGAAAATAGGAGAGAATCTTTGTGACTTTGGATTAGGTCAAGATTTCTTATCACAATTCATTAAAAGAAAACAGATGACAAATTAGATCTTATAAAAATTTTAAAACCTGTTCTAAAAAGATAAGCCACAGACTGGGAGAAAATATTGCAAAGCATAATTTGATGAGTCACCTGTACACAGATTATGTGCAAAAACACACAAACTAATAGAAAAAATGAGCAAAGGATTTGAACATGACAACAAAGAACGCAAGCATGGGTGACAAATAAATACAGAAAAATGTTCAACATTATTAATCATTAGGGAAAAGCACAAGCAAAAGGTCAATGAGACACCTAACATCAGAGTAGCAAAACTACATGTAGGTGAGGACCTGTGAGAGCTGGAATTCTTATGCACTTCTGGAGAACACCTAAAAGGATTGCAATGCTTTGGAAAACAGTAAGTTAAACCTTCACCTGCCAATGATCCAGCAATGTCATCCCTAGGAATCACTCCAAATAAAGCACATCTCTACCAAACCTTGTGCTCAGATGTTCATATGTTCATAGCAACTTTATTTGTAATCCACAAATCCTGGAGATAATCCCACTGCCCACAGATAACTAAAAGATAAACCAGTAATGAAACATTCATATGATACAAAAGTGCTCAGTAATGAAAAGGAGCAGGCTAATGACAAAAGCAACAGTGAGGGTGCACTTCAAAATAATCGTGAAGTTATATGAGAGGACACAAAAATGCAACCTAGAAAATGCAAACTAATCTACAGTGACAGGAAGTAGACTGCTTGCTAATAGAGATGAGGACTCGGTGGGGAAGAGGAAGGGATTACAAAAAGGCATGAAAACTTCTCTACTTGGGGTAGCTGTTCATTATCTTGATTGCAGCAATGGTTGCATAGTGGTGTACAAATCCCAAAACATCAAATTGTACACTTTAAATGTTTAATTTAAATATGTGCTATATCTCTGTAAGCTTTTTTAAAAAGCATAACTAGCATCCCAAATCAATGTGGATACATATTAGATAGGAACTAAATAAAATACAATACGATATGTATGAAGTCGCTGAGAAGGTAATTAATCTAAGAGTTTTGTCACACCTACCTCTGTTGCTGGCCGTATTAACCTGCCCTCATTCGAGGGCTGGGGTGCTACATCCAATTGCGCTCTCTTCTTGTTCGGTGTGCTGTCCAAGTTAAGTACAGCCTTTTGTCTAAAAGAGCTTGCCATGGCATCATCAACAAAAAAACATCATTTCACAGTTAGTAGTAGAGAGGATCTTTGTTTCACGGCGTTGTGCACAGGACAATACAGAAAGCATAAGCACACACCTGATACAACCCAAGTCAAAAAGGGCCTTGGTTTTACCGTCGCTGGTCTTCAATCTTGCTCCAAAAGTAGTGTATTTCCACTACAGCTCCTCAAAACGCCAGCCACACTCTATTGCGTACTGCGTAGTGCTTACTGCGGGTCCCTACCTGAAGCCACCTGTCCCGGAGGCCCGCCCCAACCAGATCCCCGCCCTGGTTCAGAGGCCCCGCCCCTACACCGAGGCCACGCCCCCTGCGTCAAGGTCCCGCCCTGCTGAGGCCACGCCCCGAGCCTCACCCCGGCGTGCTCCCTGGGCGGTGCTCGCAGGCGCGCTGCCTCGTCAGCTTCCGTGCGGCTCCTGCTGGCGGGAGGAAACGCGGTGACCCACAGCCGTGGGGCTGCGGGCTGGGACGTGGGGGACGAGGGGTGCAGGGAGGACCTGAGCCGAGGGTCTCCGAGCTGAGCGGGGGGCAGACGCTGGGCTTCCTGGATGGGCACGGAGGACACGAGGTCTCGGGCTGGAGGGGCGCGGGCTTTCGTCGGGCTACGGAGCTCAGGCCCATGCCTCTGTCGCCCGCGACCTTCCGGTACCGTCAGCGCGGCCCTCCGCGGAGCGCTGGGGATCCGGACGACCGCAAGGAGCGCGCGAGTTAGGGGACAAACGGCGCCGGCGCGCGCGGGACCGGGCGCGAGGGTGGGGGACATGGGGTGCGCGGGGACGGCCCCGAGTGGGCACCCGTGCCTTGTGGGGAAGGAGCGGGGTGGCTGGGGGCGTCGGCTCCGGAAGTGTGATTTGCGCCGCACTGGCCTCAGGCAAACCCACAAACTTCTGGACCCTCTCAAGTGTCCCAACACAGGGTCGGCTGGAGAGATGTGGTGCACCATCCTCCCTCCTTCCACTGCGTCCCCTGGCCCACCGTCCACACCTTTCTTTGCCTTCACAGAAAGAGCCACAGCTCCTTGGTTAGGAACTGAGGGGTGACCCCTAACCTGGAACCTCAGAATTGGTTGTACTCTGAGCCTCGGTCTCAGACGAGGCCCGATAATGTAGAATGAGGACACAGGATGGGATCCTTATGGAGGGAGTTGGGGACAAGGTCTGGAAAAGCCAGCCCTGCCCCGGCCACCTTCCCTGGAGCTGTGAGAGCAGACTCCTGCCTGTCCAGTAAGCAAGCAGATCCTGGAGCCAGAGGAAGGAGGCCTGGCCTAAGGCTACAGATGAGCCCTGCTGGAAAGGGACACAGTCGGATTCTAGGGGGGGCTCCATTGGCCTCCCTTCTGGAACCCCTTGTTCCTGGATGCCCCTGACCTAGTTTGTCACATGAGCGTCTGCTCCCCACTTCATCCATCTGGGGAGATCTGCACCCAAAGCCTTCCAGTTACACCCAAGCCTGAGCTTCAGGAGCTCAGACTTGCCTGTTGAAACACAGGTTTCAGGGCCTGGCACCCAGGTCCAGAGGCGCCACGGCAAAGCAGCCCTTGTTCTGGCTCTTTACCAGGACCCTTGCCCTCTTCCCTCTGCCCCACAGGCTATGCACTTGGCCACCAGCCTCCCTCTGTCCTGCCAGGACCTCCAACTGTGGTACAAGGCCTTCCAAGTCAGGCTAAAGTTGACAAGTTGTGCATTCCTAAAGGGAAGGCTTCCTGGAATTTGAACCAACATTGGAAAGCCTTTCTGCTGCTCTCACAGACCTCCAGTGAGAAGCTCCTGTGGCCTTCCTCTCCATCCACAGAGGAACAGAGAGGGGCAGCTGCTTGCCCATGGGCACACAGCACGCTAGAGCAGGGCTGAGCAGGAGTCCAGGCTTTGTGCTCCCAGCACCTCACGTCCCTTTTAGTCTGGGGTGGGGATCCACTCCCTGCCCTGTTTTCAGCCGACTTTCACGTGACCCCAGCTGCTCTTGGCTAATGCTGAAATGGGCCCTGGGGACACTGAAATGCAGGAACAGGAGTAAGGCAAGGGGCAGGGGTGTGGGGGAGAAGGCGCTCAGACAGACAGGCCCTCCTAAGACTGAACACATGTCTTCCCTTCCTGTGTGGCCTAGCGAGCTACAGGTCTCCGGCAGTCCCAGTCCCTACCACCCCACCCACCCTCCTCAGCTCTAGAGCGAGGTTGAAGCCCCACAGGCACGGGCAGCCATGGCGCCTGAGGAGAAGCTGGACCCAATTCCTGACAACTTTATCCTTCAGCCACCTGCCTTCCATCCGGTGAGCAGCCACCCAACCTAGAGCCTCCTGGGACCCCGGGGGGCTCCCTCCTTCCAGGTAGCTGGGAGTCGGGGAGGTTGGTCCTGGACCTGGGGAGGAGGCTGCCCTCCCCTGCTGCTTCTCTCATTCCTTTGCTGATATCCAGGAGACACCCCACTGAGGAGCACTCTAGTTACCTTCCTTGCTTGGCAGCCTCTTCCTACAGCCCTCTGTCAGCCATGCTGCAACCACCTTGCCAGGAGGGTGGGAAACAGGACCAAGAGCTGCTGAGCCAGCTAAGCAGCAGTACTGTGACAGGTGAGGTCCCTGGCCTCCTGTCCTGCTCAGGTGCCCAAGGGACCAGCCAATCCTGGGCTCTTTTCTGCTCAGCTACAAGCTGCAGACCAGAGGCAAGCACTAGGAGGGGCAGGGACTTTCTAGGTAGCTTTCACATCTGAAGCTGCAGGATTTGGAAAGCAACACCTGCATCCTGATCTCGGAGTGCCTCCAGAGTGCTTTACAAGAGCCTCAGCTTTAAGGGCTCTTGTCTCACCGGAAGACAGCCAGGGCCCCCTGTACCCTGGGGCTAGGGCCAAACTAGCTATGAGTGTACACTCAGGCTGCTCAGGGACAAGAGAGAAACACAGGCAACAAGTGGATAATGCTCGGAGAAGACATGGGGACAGGAAGAGGTCAGCCCCAGAGCCATCAGGAGTTAAAGTTAAGGTTAGGAGGGGCTTGGAATACATGCAGTATGTTTTAGGAAGGGATATGGAATGACAGCCCAGGAAGGCAGCCAGGCCGTTTTTAGCATTACTCCTGGAACCTATCATTCTTTTTGGAACCCAGTCCCAGACCCTAGTCACTAAATAAACTCCAGGGAGCCTTAAAACCAGGCTTCTGCGGACCAAGGTGGCCTCCCTGGGGACATTAGAAGCTGTGACACCCTGGGCTGGGAGAGGGAACTGGGTGGTATTCTGATGGCCACAGGGTAGCTTTGACCCATCCATGTCCAAAAGAAGATGTCAGAAAAAGTTGACTCTTCCCAGGAAGGACATTTCCTATTTGAGGTTGGAGAACTAATGTCCAGTTCCCCCTACACTGCCCAGGCTGCAGGTCGTGGCCTTTCTTCCAACCACACAAATGGCTTCCTCCCCTTGTTCAGGTGGTTCCGTATGTGACAACCATTTTTGGTGGCCTGCATGCAGGCAAGATGGTCGTGCTGCAGGGAGCAGTCCCCAGAGATGCACGCAGGTACAGGCAGAGCTCGGGATGGAGCTGGGACTGCCCTACCTCAGCAGCCCCTGTGGGCTCTGACTGGATGCTGCAGGTTTCAGGTAGACTTCCAGTGCAGCTGCAGTCTGGACCCACGGCCAGACATCGCTGTCCACTTCAACCCTCGCTTCCATACCACCAGACCCCACGTCATCTGCAACACCCTGCATGGAGGATACTGGCAGATGGAGACCCGGTGGCCTGGGCTGGCCCTGCAGAGAGGGGCCAGCTTCCTCCTTCTCTTCCTCTTTGGGAATGAGGAGGTGAAGGTGAGGGAGAGGGATGGGCCCCAAGAGCTGTGTCCTTCCACCCTCCTTCCCACTGCCCTGTATATTATGCAGTGAAATTGATGGGGTAGGCCGAGAGGCCACCATTCTGTCCAGGCCACCCTGGGCCACTGCTGTGCTGTAGAATGCAGTTGAAAATAGTGTTTGCTGGATACCAGGCAACATCCTTATCTTGGGCGGGGTGTGGGAGATGGACCCAGAGCCCCATGCATGCATGCTAGGCAAGTGCTGTCTGCACTTGATCTGCATCTGGCCCTCTGAGCCCCTGGCCCACAACCCCAGGCCAGGTGCCTTTATGACCACCATCTGACAGTGATAGCAGCAAAGGACAAGCTTGGGCCTCTCAGGAACTCCTGGCAGAAAGATGGCAGGATCTCCAGACAGCTCCAGGGCGAGCACTGGACAGGGAAGGACTGAGGGTGGGGGTCACCACCCGGGCTCTCCGGCAGTCAGCACTTTCATCCTCTGTCATGCTGAGGAGAAGATTGCTCTCTGGGGCAGAGAGGGCAGCGGGTCCTGCCTTGAAGAGGTGGTGTGAAGTTTGGCTGCCCTGCAGGTGAGTGTCAATGGACAGCACTTCCTCCACTACCGTTACCGGCTCCCACTGTCTCGAGTGGACACCCTGGGTATATTTGGAGACATCTCAGTGCAAGCCGTTGGATTCCTGAACATCAGCGTGAGTTCACTTGGGGCCAAGGCCTGGAACATAGAGACCTCTGACTTGCTGAGACCTAGATGAATGTGGGACCCACTCACCTTCTCAGACCATGAGGCAGAGGAGGCTAGGAAATCTGTGACAGCCAAGGGTCAGAGAGCCCACAGTGTCAGGTGTGTGTGGGCTGAGAAGACGGAAGGTGCCAGTGGTCAGAGGTGCAGAGCCACAAATGGGGTCTGTCCTGCTGGCCAGGCTGGTTTTACGAGGAGTGGGGGTGGGGGGAGCTAAGGGCACAGCACAGCCAAGTCCAAATAGGCTGCAATGGGCTGGTACCTCGTTCCACCTATGAACTTACTCAAATCCAGATGCGGGGACCTGGCACCAGTGAGTCTGACTTAGCAAGCCTGAAGTAGGGCTGGGAACTTTACTTCAGAAGGCAGATTTAAGAGCCACCACCTAGCTGTAGGAAGCAGGCATGCAAGGTCAGAAAAAGGTGACCTGGGGACCTGCAGGGTTCTGGATTTCCCCTTCTCTTTCTGAATAGCCATTTGCAGAAGGCAGCAGAGAGTATCCGACTGGACACGTGAGTTGGGGGTGTGGCTGTCCCTGCAGATCGACAGAGCTGACCTGTTGCTCCCACTGCTCACGCACCTCTGCCCTTGCCTCCCTGTGGCCTCATCTGCAGATGGAACCTAGACATGCCCTCCTGGCCCCTCTTCAGGGCCATCCAGGAAGGTGATGGGGATAGGGCCTGGAGGGATCAGCACCCGCAATTCCCAGCAGGAGATGACTTTCAGTGGGAGCTCTCAACCTACAGAACCACTGTGCAAGGGGTTGGGGTGGATCTCACAAGACAGAGGGTGATGCAGCACCTAAGCATGCTCATAGTGCAGTTCTTCCCCATCTCCCCAGAGCTGGGGAGTCCAGATGCAAGAGCTTCTCCTGGGGCTCCCACAAGACCCGCTGCCATGAAAGAAAGACACCCCAGGGTCCCCAGTGAGAAGCATGACAACCAGGGCTCCTTTCCTGGGACAAACACCAATGGCTTCTGGGCCTCTCTTTCCCCACAGCCCTTCCTGCTTCAGAGTCCTGAGCTGGTGAGTGACCCCACAGGTTCCCTAGAGGTGTGGTCCCATCTTGGGTCCCTCAGAGCTGGAGGAGCAGCCAGGATGTGGGCGTCCTGTGGTAGCAATTGCCCTCAGCCTCAGTTTCCTTTCATGTGTGGCTGCAAGCAAGCTGAGCCACTCCAGGCAAAAGTTCCAGCTTCATTTTCCCTTAGCTCCATCGATGCTGCAAGCACATACCTGGTGCTTCCCAGGTAAGGCTCTAGGATAGAGTCAGGATGGCCTCAGCCCCAGCCAGTGGTTCACAAGCTAAGGCAGGATAAGCTACCACATGGCTGTGACAGTCCAGGGTGCTCAGGCCCCTGGTGCAACCTTGTCTTGGAGGGGCTCAGGCTGCATCCCACAGAACTACAACAGGAGCTACAGGAGGTATGGTTATGTCTCCAGTGGACAGAACCAGAGGCCTTAGTGCTCCCCACCCTCAGAGGAGCCAAAAACTGCTCCTCACAGTGGAGACTTTCCTGAGTCCGGGATCACCATCCCCAGTCTCTCCCCTGTCCTTCAGGAGCTGCCCTGCTCACGTACCCTTCCTCAGGGACTCTGGCCTGGACAGGTCATCATAGTTCGGGGGCTGGTCTTGCAAGAACCAAAGACGTAAGTATCCCACCAATCATAACTTCTTTTAGTTTTCCCAGCACCACCATGTAATCCTTTTCCTTCAGGTAAGAAAACAGTGCAGAGGTCAATAAACTGTCCAAGGTTGTAAAGTCCCAAAAGGTGAGGCTAAGATGGGGACCAGTGGCCGTCTTGTGGAAGAAACTCCTGTAATGCCTCTGTCAGATCATTGAGGAAAGGAAAAAGTCTCACAGGCCCAGGCTGAGGAGAGTATATTGCCTCTCCTGGGACATGAGACTTGATATCAGGTGCCTATCTCAGCAGGGAGAGTTGGCACTTTAGAAGCCAGAAATCTGGGCTCTGGGACACTATTGCTAAGTGGTGCTGCCTCACTGTTCCTCCAGGGGGCGCTCAGACTCAGGTGTGTAGCACACATCTAGCAGGACCAAGGCCTGGTTTGAGCACTCCCACTGCGTGACTGGAGGAAAGGCCTTTTCCAAGCCAGATTGCCTGTGTTGTCGCCTGGCCCTCTCACCTGCTCCTTGTGTAACCCCAGGCAGTGACATTTCTTCCCTTTGCCCCAGGCTCTCTAAGTCGGGTTAACAGCAATGTAGGTGGTGCTCAGCATAGTCAGCTACACAGGTGGTGACTGAACTACCTCTTGCAGGAGATAATGGACGGGTCCACACCTGTGCTCTTCCTGCTTTGCCACTGTCTTGTTCTAAGTTGCTGACCTCACCAGACCTTTGCCCTCAGCTCCTGGCCATAGCTGAGCGCTGAGGCACCAGGCTGGAACGATGGCTCCCAGAGCCAGGTCTTCTGCTGGTTTCTCCTCTTAACACACTGCGTGCTTGAGCAAGGCAACACATGTTTCTGATTTTTCCTGCTAGAAGAGGAGAAAGTCAGTCCCACACTGGTGGGGAAATGACCAAACCACCTCCCACTCCAAAGCTAGGAGGCCTGAGACTGCGTCCTCATCCCAGTTCAAGGTCACACGGTGGTTATTCATGACAGCACAGGGTACTTGTGGAAGAAATGTTGAAGGGAATGGGCCGGGTCTTCCAGTTATCATTAAAGAAAAACCAAAAGCCATCTTTTGTGTAAGCTCAGCCTTTGAATGTGGCATTCATTTGAAACAGAAGACTGTGGCAGACCAGGAAAAACATGCCCAAAAGGCTGCTGAGCTGTGGCTCACAGATGTCCATCAGACTTAGCCCACACATGGCACCCGCAGGCCTATGGTAAAAAGTAGGCTGTTACTGTTTCCAAAACAGTTGAGGGCTTGAGGTGGATAGAGGGAGCAAGCATAGGACCCATTCTTTTCTGGTGGAAATCTGTTATTATTCCTAAATTAAAGATGAGGAACCAGGCAGAGAGATACAAATTGCCTAAGGTCCCAGGACCAGAAAGTAGCAGAGCCAGCTCGAACCACTGAGCTTTCTGCAAATTAAAACAGAAACTGCTGCTCAGTTACACTCAACACATATTAGAGGCTATTTTTATCTCCACAGTTATCCTCATTTTCAGGAGGAGAAACTGATCCTCCAGCTAGGAGATGCCCCACCCCCACGATCCCTCAGCCAACAGAGGACAACTCTGGGACTCAGTCTTAGCTCTAAGTCATGCTTTACACTCCCTTGCGCTATAAGGCTTCCAGGCACTGAACCCTGAGCAGTCACAACACTTAGCCCTGGGACCACCCCAATTCCTGCCCAGTGTCCCTGGGCAGGGGGCAGGCAGAACTCCCTACTCTATCTACTTCCTACAGCTTCACGCTAAGCCTGAGGGACGAGGCTGCCCATACACAAGTGATGCTCAGGGCCTGCTTCATGGACCGGACACTGGCCTGGGTCTCTCCCTGGGGACGCAAGACACTGATCTCAGCGCCTTTCCTCTTTCACCCCCAGCGATTCTTTGAGGTGGGTCAGAGCCACATGATCACATCCTTTGGGAAGGAGCCCAGAGATGAACCCCACAATGATCTGGGGTGGGTTGGAAGGGTAAATGCCCAGAACTGGAAGCCAGCAGAAAAAACATTCTAGTCGCTGGCACATAGCCTCTGTGCCAGTGCCAGGAACCCCAAGCCCAGGTTCAGGCACAAGGAGTATAATGAGGGACCCAAGCATCATTTTGCTCGCCAAGTGATTCATGTGCATAGCGGAGGTGGAAACCACTTTGCTGACAGCAAGTACCCCAGTGCAGTTGGCAAAACAGAGGAAGGTTAGGAAGACTGAGGCCAGTGGCCACAGTGGGCTGGTTACATGCCACCCTCCAGGCCCAGTCTCTGTGTCCTCCATGTCAGGGTCTATATGGATGCCACTCACCCATATGGCCCCTTGCTAGGTGCTGCTCCTATGCCAGGAAGGGGAGCTGAAGCTGGCACTCAATGGACAGGGTCTGGGGGCCACAAGCCTGAGCCAGCAGAGCCTGGAAAGATTGCGGGAGCTACAGGTCAGAGGAAACATCCAGCTGTACTGCATCCACTGCTGAGGCGCTCAGGGTAGCGCAGCCCAGAAGAGGAAGCCAGCCTGCACCAGGGCCTCACAGTGTGACACCCACCTGCACCCCGTGTAGGCCTCATTCTCTTCCGTGGCCACACCTTGGGTCTGCACCAGCCAGGGCGCTAACACTGCACTCCCCCAACCCAGAATTAGAATTTGCCCTGACTTCCCTCAGGGCCGCACTGGCCCCATGGGGCAGGATGTGGAGCTTAATGAAGTTTCTCAGAAGTACAGGGACCTCAAGACTCAGGCCTCGGGATATAACTCAGTAGCACAGTGCATGTCTGGCAAACATAAGATCCTGAGTTCAATTCCTGGTACCAAAAAAAGAGAGAACTTGGACATTTGCTCCATTCTTACCCAGCAGCTCAGAAAAACTGACCCAGGCCAGTGAGGCACTTGCCCCCACACACACCATCACACAGACTCCATTTTTGTCATCCGCCCTCCCCAGGACCCAGCAGCAGCAGGACTGGAGTTCGCGATCTCGTGAAACCTGGGCTGGGCCCACCATGCACTATCCTCACTCATTCCATCAGCTTCTGTCTGCGACACAAGCCAAGGCTATGCACAGGGTTTCTCCAGCACAAGTCTCAGGGTCACACAGGGTCTACTGTTACACAGTAACAGCAGGCAGGAGAAGGAAAAGGAGGCTTGTCCTGCCCTGCAGCACAGGCACACAGCCAGTCTGCATTTCCTCCACCTGCCACACAGGCACCGCAGGTCCCCCTAGATTACCGTGTGGCCCATGTGTGTCCTGGCCTGTGCCACCCCCGTTCATGTGGGTTCACTCTATGATGTACGCACAACAATGGAATTGCCAAACAGTACATTTTTAGAATTTACCCACCACTGAGTGATATATAAAGGAAACACTAGAGAAACCGAACCTATATGATGGGATAGCTGAAATGAGTATTTTTAAACTTTGTACCCCACAAGCAGAGAGCAGTAGTCTTCACTTATCCATTTACCAACATTGATCTATCACGGAGAGACAGTAAATTCCCTGGAGTAGAAATTTCATAGCAAATCACCCTCGCTATAGCCCACAGAACCTGAACATCAGTGAGAGGGGTAACTGAATAGTGACCACTGGAAACCAAGGCACTGGGTTCTGGACAGGATCCGGGCCAAGGAGGAGCCAACATGTGCTGAATGCATCAGGAGCTGCAGACTGTAGGCCAGAGCAAAAGGAAGGCTACAAGCAGCTCTGCCCCCGGGGCTATCGGTGAGCTGGGAGCAAGGTCTGTGCCGCTGCTGCTGCTGCTATGCCTGGACACACTTAGGACTGGTGCTATACAAAAAAAAAAAAAAAAAATTAACAGACCAAACCTAAGGCAGCTGCTCTTAGAAATACCTGCTTAGAAGTCTGGCTTTGTGCCCCCCGAGATCGGACCATGGAAAAACTTAGGCGACTGAGCAAGAAAGCAATTCACCTCCCTTCTTGGTAAGCGTCCCTGGCACAAGCCAGGAGGAGACCAGTCAGTGTCTCCCGTGAGCCTACCGGCACTTGGGCTGAGAATCAAACATTCCAGCCCTCCTCCTACACATACACACCCTGTTAGCAATTGAGGGCAGAGGTCTGAGCGTCTCTTGGGAGGATGACTGTAAGCAATATAGCAAGTGTGGGGAATTTCCTTCTATCTTCTGTTTGAAGGCAAATGTTGTTTTCACTGTTTTACTTTGTTCTGGTTAATTGTTTTGCTCTATTCTCTATTCTCTTTCAATTGGTTTTCTAATGTTCTGTTTCTGGTTTGATTGCGCCATACCTAATTGAATAGACAACTACTGTGAAAATAATGTGATATACTATAGTACCTATTACTGTTATCCCGGTACCCTGCTGTGAAGTTCTATACTAATTTCACTACATTGTCTTGATTTGCCTTGTTCTGTCTTGTTCTGTTGTATTTTACTACCTTCAAAATAAAATAAAAATAAAGAAGGCTGGCTTTGGCTTACTGGAACATGACTATGAGCACTTTCCACTCTGACAGGAACTTGGCCTAAATGATAAAGCACTCGCTGTGCCCAGAGCAGGGTGACAGTGTGGCCCATGCTGAGTGCTTGCCTTCCTTCTGGGAGTCCAGCATCTCTTTAAATGCTAGGCAGCACCTACATCACTAACCTTCTATAAAAACTCCAAACTAATGGACACAGGAAACACCTCTGGTATGATAATACCCGAGGGAGGAATTGGCAGGTCCCATGTCTGACCCTAGTGAGGACTCTCAGAGGCCTGCACCTGGCTTCCCAGGACACTGCCCCTTGGACCTTTCCCTTTGCTGATTCTGCTATGTATCCTTTGCCCTAATAAATCTTAGCTGTGAGTCTATTTGCTGATCTGGAACTGGTCTCAGGCACCCTTGACACATATCTTCTTGGTAGATGGACTCTTTCTGTAATTTTTATTTTAAAGAGAATAAAGCCAAACAAAAATTAAACAGAATAAAGCCAATCAAAATGAAACAGTGTAAGTGACACAGGGCTTCAAAACAAGATAATAGGAAATCAACAATGCTACCATAATACCTCTTGTTGTCTTCAAAATAGCTGCCCATATCATCAGACATAGGAAAATCGAACAGAACAGAACAGAAAAGAACCAATAAAAACAAAACAATGAATGTAAGACAAAATAATAGTAAATCCAAAATGGCTACCATAATATATCCTGTTATTTTTTAAATAGCTGCCCATGCCATAAGATATAATAAAATCAAACAAGACAAAACAAAATAAAGCCCAACCAAACAATAGAATAGGGAATTAGGAATGGCTACCACCTTCAGAAGGAGATCCTCCATAGATGCTACATTGCATACTGTTACCCTCTGAATAAATGATCAGACTACCAGCTTTAAATCTACAAAATCAATGAAACACTAAATACTACAAGCATTAAGTTGTATTTTACCTCAATAGATACCATCTCAGCCTGTGTTTCTCTGACTCAGCCAGCTGTTTATGGGGCTGAGGGGCTAGGCACTTCTTGTCTGCCAGCCCACGCACCAGAAGGGGCTGGCATCTGGTTCTCCCCCTAGTGAACTACACGATGCTCACTCACAGGGAGGGCTTGGCTTCTTGTTAGCTTCTTGTTCTCCTCCCCCACAGTCTGTGAATGGCGCCAACTCACAGGAAAGGGCTGGCTTTTGGTTCTTCCCTCAGTGACCCACACGTGGTGCTAACTCACAAAGAGAACTTGACATCTTCTTGGCTTCTTGTTTTCCTTGTAGGTGGACTCTTGCCATGAGGTGAAGTCCACTATCCTTTTACTCTAAAGTCATTGGCTGATGTTAAGGGAACCACACTAGCATTCTCTGATTCTGCCTGCATCTGTGTGCATTTTTCTACCCTTCTAATTTTAATCTGTCTACACCTATACCTATTAACCTTTTATAATAAGTCCCCAACTTATGAACGATTCCCATTCCAGGATAACATTCATAAGTCAGATTTGTTCATAAGTATGACAAAGTGAGTCTACTTAGCTTTATTACAAAGGTACAACATAAAGCACAAAAAACCAAACACATACACCAGAATACTGTAAGTGAACTATTTTTGCCTTTGCAGTACTGTCCTGTAAAACGGTGGTACAGTACAATACATCGGGCATACAGGGGTTTTATCTGTACGGAGAGGGGAAGGTGGGTGAGAGATGTGGAACAGCCCTGCTTCTCACACAGCACACAGTAGCACAGCTGTGACAATGTCCAGCTTTCACAATTCGCTCACACCTAGGAATGTTCCTAATGCAAGGTTCATTTGTATCTGTGAAAGTTTGCGACTCAAATGTTTGTGAGTTGAAGACTTACTGTACTTTTAACCTGTCTGCTTGAATTCAGTTTCTTGTATATAGCATGTAGTTAAGTCATACTTTTTCAGTTTCCAGTTATAGTCAACATAATACTGGATGTTCTAGCTAGAGCAGCTGGGTAAGAAAAAAGGCATCCAAATTAAAAAGGGAAAATTGAAACCATCTACTTGCAGATCACAAGATCTTATATATAGAAAACCCTAAATGAGCGACACAGAAAGAAGCACTTATAAATAAAAACTGATGGAACTAATAAATGAATTTAGTCAGGTAGTATACTACAAAATCAGTAGTTAAAAATCAGTACAGTGGTCTATTTAAAAAATCAAAAAAATGACCCTATTAAAGATAGCACCAAAAAATACTGATCTAAGGTGTTTTGTTGTTTGTTTGTTTGTTTGTTTGTTTGTTTGTTTTTGAGACAAGGTCTCGCTCTATAGGCTGGTCTTGAACTACTATGTAGCCTAAACTGGCCTTGAAGTCAGAAATCAAGGCAGTCCTCCTGCTTCAACGTCCTGAGTGTTGGGATTACATGCATGTGCCATCACAACAGGCCAAGGTTCTTTTTAAAGTACAGAGATATTTAGAAGTAAAATGATCCAACATGCTCATCACTGATGATTGGCCACTGTATTAAAAATTCAAAACATAATATATAGCACACAATTTTTACAAACCAGTAATACAGAAAGACACAACGTGAAAACTGAAAGCCTGTCCCTACCCTACCAACTGCTGAAAGCCTGTCCCTACCTTACCATACAGATAAAACCCCTGTATGCCAGGGGAATAAGCACTGTGGTGCTGACTGAAGGATTCCTTCTACAAATAAAAGGGTATGCATATGTGTAACAAATCATACTGACATGAAAATGCGTAAGTACTCAAATTTAAATGTCAAATGAGAGAAACTCAAAAGTTATAACAAAATTAATATACAACATCAATACAGATACGTTGTGTTTGGACCTGGGAGGTCCCCAGCCTGTTAGGTACTCAGAGGTGGGGTTTGTAGAGAGTGGTTCCATCTGAGGGTGGTGGATTCAAGCAGCTCAGTGTGCAGTTGGGAGTGAGTGTAGTGGGAAACGGATGTTGTGTGGCCTGGAATGATGTATTTCCCTTCCTGGCTCTGCCTTGCTGTCTCTGCTTCCTGGAGCCATGGGTTGAACAGCTTTCATCCCTGAGCTCCTGTATTCCTATTTCTGCCTCTGAGTCAGCCATCCATGGACTGAAACTCCTGTAACTGTAAGCCAAATTAAACCTCTCCTTTACATTGTAGATATAGTGTCTCAACAATGAGGCAAATGACTGAGACAAGATAGCTCGTTTTTAAATGAGAATGGGTATAAAGATTCATTTAGTAGAAAAACAAAATACAAATGCAATGAACATAAACAGACGCCTAATTCATAACTAGTCTCAAGAAATGCAATTAAAACAAATTGGTTCCATTGTTTACCAGCTTACAAAAGTTAATGACATTGGGGTATTATCTTTCTCATAAAGTGATACTTTTTTTTACCTCCATGAAGTAAACACTCATGTTCATCTCCTTGCACTCCCTGCCCATTCCAGGATGGGCTAGATTTGGCTGAACCAGATCACTATAAAGCTGAGGTGATCTATGGGTTAAAATAAGATAATCCCAAAATTTATGTTTGAAATTTTTGCATTACAATACTACTAGGATCACCAGATCAATATTAACACTTTAAATGTTTTGTCTTTAAATGCATATGAATAAAGAATGTTTCAAAATGTTATTTTCTCTCTAATTATGTTTTCTCTCTACTGCAGGTGTGGATAGAATCAATTCCCAACCAATGAAAAGGCAAATTAGATGTAATCATTTCTATTTGTTTTTCTCTCAGCATTGGTTTTCAAATTGCTTGAGACATCTGGATATGTGCTACATGAGATTTATTTCAGAACGTTTTGGTGAAGATCTAGTTAAATGATCTTGAAATGAATTTGCGAAAGTACTGTCATTATCAGTCTCCTTATTAACATGTATTTCAACATCAATTTCTCCAGTGCTATCTGTACTCGACCAGCAGTCAATTAAGTGTACAAGTTAAACAATGTACAATTAGAAATAAACAAATTAAAATTCCAAACAATCGAAATCATCACCATCGCAGGCAGTTCGGCCCCTTAAGAGACCCATATGATCTGAGTATTCATGTCATCTTGATGAACTGCTCCACTTTCTCCAGATGAACTTTTTGTCTCATTTTAAAGACACAAATATTTTTCAATTATGTGATTAACTTGAAAAGGAGAAAAAATAAAAGAGGCTTCCAGTTTTAGACATGACACTAGCCTGTACCACTGGCACCTTTCTTCAACAAATAAAAGGGTATGCATATGTGTAACAAATCATACTGAATGAAAATGCGTAAGTACTCAAATTTAAATGTCAAATGAGAGAAACTCAAAAGTTATAACAAAGTTAATATACAACATCAAACTTGCCTACAAATCAAGAAAATACAGATATGTTGTATTTGGACCTGGGAGGTCCCAGATGTTGCAAAAGTAAGAGGAGATTCATGGGATAACTGCCCCAGAGACTCCAGGCAACTTTGAGGTGGCAACGATGTGGAGATCACAGTGGGGGGAAGGACAGCAGCCACATAGGAATCCACCTTGCCCAAGAGGATGTCCAAGCATGTGCTCTTCACTGTGTATACTTGGGGAGATCTCACTCCTGATATCTTCGTCTTCCAGTTCTATTAAAGTTAGAATCGCACAGCATACATTAAATATGTACATTTCAGTGGCATGTAGTACATTCATAATATTTTGCAGCCACTTCTTTTGCTTCCATTTCACCACCCCAAAACAATTACATCCTATTTCCCTCTCTCCCCACCATGAATCTATTTTCTGAGTCTGTGAATTTATTTGCTGTAAGTATTTCACACAAATGGGATCATACAGTATGTGAACTTTGTGTCTGGCTTCTGTCACTTAGCAAAATGTTTTCAGTATTGTGTTGCAATACTGGTACTCTTTCTGTTTCTGTTTTGTTCTGCCATGTAAATAATAGTCTACCAAATGAATACATGAAATATACCCTTTAGCTTTCGTAAATGGTACTTTTAAAAATATTTCAGTATGTT